AGCCGTCAGTGGAAAGCCATAATGGATTAAACTGCTTGATAAATGCCTGACTGACAATACGTGATTCACAAAGCGTTTCAACAGCGTAACCACGCTCTGTATATTCACGACAAAAAATTAGTTGATGAGTCATAGTCCCTAAGGAACTTCAATTAAGCAATTAAAAACAGCATTTTATGTCATCACTGTCGTGCACATCAACACATGGAAACAAGAATTCTGATATCATTTACTTAGTTAATTCTATACAATCTTTATTTATGTCTCAGGCATATTCAGGCCTATATTAATAGGGCCAGTTTCCGAATTTGTGGAGGACGGGGAAACTGGTCCTCATCCGAAAGGAGGGGCGCCCGGCGGACTCACCGTCCGCCTACCGGCCCATAGTGTTGCTTGACGAGGTGTGCAAGCTCTTTGAAAGAGTGATTGCAAGGCGCCTCGTCAAGCATCTCGTGATGGTTGGGCCGGATCTGGCGGACAACCAGTACGGTTTCCGTCAGGGGCGCTCCACCGTGGATGCGATCATGCGCGTGAGGGCTCTGGCGGAGGAAGCAGTCTCCCGGGGTGAAGTGGTGTTGGCGGTGTCCTTGGACATCGCCAACGCGTTCAACACTATGCCCTGGAGCTGCATCAGGGAGGCGCTCGTGTATCACGAAGTGCCTCTCTACCTCCGCCGCATAGTCGGGGCATATTTGTCGGAGAGAGCCGTCGTCTACCCCAGTAGGACCGGTCTCGGTAGGCGTGAAATGTCGTGCGGTGTTCCGCAGGGGTCGGTGTTAGGGCCACTCTTGTGGAACATCGGCTACGATATCATTTCCGAGGTCTGGTCCCCAAGTTGGTTGGGGCAGCGCGTGCGTTGGCGCGGCTGCTGCCCAACATGAAGGGACCCGATGACTCCTGCAGGAGACTCTACTCGGGGGTTGTGCGGTCCATGGCCCTTTACGGGTGCCCGGTATGGGCGGGGGCCCTGAAGGCCAGCAACGTCGCGATACTGCGACGACCGCAGCGAATGCTGGCCATCAGGATCATAAGGGGGTACCGCACGATCTCCTTTGAGGCAGCGAGTCTCCTGGCCGGAACTCCACCGTGGGACCTGGAGGCGAGAGCCCTTGCGGCACTGTATCAGTGGCGCAAGGAGGCGCAGGAGTTGGGTAGATGCCCCGAGATTCGAGAAATCGATGACCGGAAATCCCAACTCCGCCAGGTCATCATAGGGGAGTGGAGGGAACGACTCGGGCAACCGAGCGCTGGGCACGCCGTCATTGCGGCGGTAAGACCCGTTATGGAGGATTGGCTCGAGAGGCGTCACGGGACCCTCTCATACCGATTGACGCAGGTGATCACTGGGAAGGGATGTTTCGGAGATCACCTGTGTCTGATCCGCAAGGAGCCAACGCCTGAGTGCCACCACTGCGGTGGCCAGACCGTGGACACGGCTCTCCACACGCTGGCAGAGTGCCCGGCGTGGGTTGAGCAGAGGCGAGACCTCGTGGCGGCCATCGGAGTGGGAGTTCTCTCGCTCGATAGCCTGATTGCGGCTATCGTGCGGAGCGAGAGTGCGTGGAACTCTGCCGTCTCCTTCTGCGAGCAAGTTATGCTCGCGAAGGAGACGGCGGAGCGGGACCGGGAGAGGTTTAGAACTCTCCCGGCCCGCCAGGCCCGGGCACGGGCCAGGCAGCGCAGGCGACTCAGGCGCCGGAGGTCGCAGAACGACCTCCGTCCTCCATAAGCGCAGGCCTGGGGGTGACAGGTGAGGCCATCTGTCACCCTAGCAGAAGCAGGCCGGGGTGGCGGCGAGCGCGTTGCGAAGCGCGCTCGCTTCCAGGGAGCACAGGGAACATGGGGTTCCCACACGGGGCGGGGGTCGTCTACTCGTCTGTAGATGACCCGAGGTATGTCGGGGCACCAGGGCCTTCCTTTCTAGGGTATACCTGGTTCCCCGGCTATTAGTACCCGGCGAAGGCGTGCGGTTTTAGTCGGTTCGAGTCCGACATGCCACCGACAGGTGGTATCTGAGGGGATTTCCGCACGGGAAAAAAAAAAAAAAAAAAAAAGGCCTATATTAATAATTAATTTTGTTATATCATGTCAATAGTATATGCACAATAGCCAAGCTAAACAAGTCGCATATTAATATTTTGGAATTAAATATTAATGGTAAGAAAAAACACAAAAGTACGTTTTTCAAAATATTTACTAATACCAAATCAATCTTAAACACACATCAAAACATACATAATATGCACAATCTCACTTAACTATATTATTTATTCTCTATATATATTGTTTTTGGAAAACAATTTTAGAATTTGTTATTCTCCGCTATATTAATACTTTAATGAAAGATATAATAAATATGTACAAGTTGATTTAAGGCACTTGATTAATATATTGCCTTAATAATAAGTACAAATTAATATTTAAAAAACAATGACATGTATTAAGCCCGTCTGCTGATGGCACTAAGCATGTTTCAAAAAACAAAATTACATTTAGGTAAGTTATTGCCTATGAAACACATTTATTACTAGTTATTTGCAGACAATAAAATTATTTGTACGTCTATTTCATCACACTATTTTTTTCACTTTTCTTATATGAAATGGATTCCTCTGCTGTTATGGCATTTGCATTATACGATTAACTCTTTAAATGCTTATTTGTATTAGCATGATTTGTACGAATTAATTTACAGGAAATAAGAACAAAAGCAGTGGAGTATATTATAAAGTTTCTAATTATGTTCTCCTGCGAAATATAACGGAAAACAATGACCTTAATACCTTTGTGTAATAAAAACGGTTGTAAGCTTTATCTTTAGGTCAGTAATTTTTATTATGTGCGATGGTGTAATGTGAGACTCAGCCATGCAATAAGAGGATGACATGGTCATGAGGTAATTCTCAATGTCCTGTAAGTTTAATATATTTATAGGTTTTATAGTTATTTCCAAGTGTTAACACATGTTATGAACGAATGAGTAAACATCTCAAATTATTCGTACTTAACTATGTATGCATGGGAGACCAAGAAAATTAAGTACTTATATTATGAAGTAATCATGGACGGAGTGTCAACAACTTCGATTATATTTTATATTGATGCTTCTCAAGGATATTATTTAGGTAAAGTTTTCGATATAAATTTACTTGTTTAGAAATAAAATAGGCATTTTATATATATTTTGCTTGAAAAAATTTTGATTTCCGTGATTTCCAAATTACAAAAGCACCTTATTCTGCAAAACGATAAAAAAATAACCAACTAATTAGCTTTTTATTCTAGTTTCTTATAAACGACGTAATTCTATTGAAAATATTTATCTCCACAGCTAACTATCGTGATAATATAATTTTCACCTAACGCATTAATCTCAATATCAGATCTCTATAAAATCTTGTAAAAATATTTTCTCAACAATATTATAGTCGAGATTTGTATAATAAAATATTATTTAGAATTATAACATTTTTCTATTGCACTAAGCGTGATTTGTTATTGTTATAATATTGCTTTTAATTACACTGTAGCTTTATACCTAACAATTTACAAATGTTATGAAAAATAATTGCCCTTGTTACATAACATATTCATTCGTAGTTTGGTAATCTTTGAGATTATTTTCGTAGAATGTTTCACTGAATACAATTAACAGTTGCAGATCTGTGATATAATATGAGATAAGATGAAATCTGGAGATTCCCGAGGAGATTGTAACGAAGGCACTTATACAGTTAATAATGTTGTCAAACCTAACGTACATACTACAAGTAATAATTTGTGTATTACCACTAATATTCTTATACGAAATAATATTTGAAACTGAAGAAGATAAATGTATAAAAATTAACATTTAGAAAAGTTAACAATAATTTAATCTCTTCTAACTTAGCTATTAATTAGCATTATAACAATTTCTATAGAACCAAAAAGGTTAGAACATTGTACATTAAATTAAGGCACATAGGATGTACAAATATCCAAAGTTATCTATAAATATTAAGAACTAAAAGTAAAATACAATGCTATAAATATTATTCAGTTAGAATGAGAATTCATACACTCATCGAACAATGCACATGATTTTAAATAGGAAGACATGTATGATTTATGATTTCATCTGGAGAAAATGTCAAAATTACTAAAAATCTTTGGTTTTATAGTCATGAAATACTATTGCCGGAGGGCGTGGATCGATGAGCATATGAAGTGACAACTTCTATTAGACTATATTCCAATGTCAGTCCAATTAATTATCAATGAAAAGCAATTTTATATATTTTTTAGCATCGTAGGTACTTACTTTGACCTCTTGCATGACGCCATCCTGTTCCATGAGCGCCACAATCATCCATGTAGTGCCGCGAACACACAATTTACGACAAAAACTTTCGTACGTTACGTACCTTCATATATTTAGATAAATAAAATATCTTATCAAGAAATCATGACTAACCAGGTTTAATTCATACAACAGTGTGTATCTAAGCCAAAACTGAAACTCATGTTAGAAACTGGCGTCATAGTATTATTATGATCTACTAAGATCTGCTGCACGAATTAACCTCAAGTTAAAAGTCAAATTCAAACTTTTGTAAAAAGACGGCGCTAAAAGTGCTGCTCAGTATAAATATAGGTACTCTATGGATATAACGTTAAAGAATAATACATATCTACTGATAGATACTATTAAATAGTGAAGGGTTCACATTTAACGCCGTAAAAATGTTGGGGTAACCTAACAACACTCGTGCTTCAACAACAACACGATCAAGCGACAACAGAAGTACAAAAAGATACAATAATATAGTAAATATAGTCGATGGCGTGTGCCATTTCATTAAAAAAATTATATAAAAATGTTAATAAAGTTCATCATGTTATAAACATAACAGGCATATAAATGTTAATAGTTAGACTATTATAATACATAGTATAATGTTAAACGTGAAAGGCCCAACAGCTATAGCTACATGGTGGTCGATGTTCCGATGAGTATGTTACGCGGCGACATAGGGGGCCGTCGTGGGGCGGCCGGCCGCGACTCCTGTTAGTTCCTCGGCGCCGTTAGCACTCACCTAGCCGGGTTAACGAGAAGAGAGAAAAACAGAATGTTAGTATCGATCAAAATGTCATGGTCCGACTACACGAGTACCCTCAATCGCGAGTTCGCACGCTTAGAACTCAAACGCGCTTGCGCTTTTTATCGTCAAATGTAGCGATTCAGTGAACGATGTTATTAAAGGAGTAGACGAAAAGAAATGCACGCAGCCAATCTTGAAGCTTTAGGAAGACCGTTCTGAAAGCTCGGATGAAGCTTACAACGAAGGTTTTTCAGGTCGCTAAATCGCTAAATTCGGCTATATAAAGAAACCAGTGCGCTCGAGTTGTAACGCTTGCGTTGCGCTGCGACCGCTGCCGGGGCCGATTTTACTCATCGCGGTTTAGGGATACGTGAACAGAATGTCGTAATAATTTGTGAAATGGCGCTTCGATATACGAGAGGCATGACATTTAAGACATTCGGGTACCGGCAACATGCAGCGAGCCAACAGAAGCGATAAACGGTGACCTCGGATTGATACCACTGGTGTATTACTGATATCTTATAAAAGTAGAAATTTAAAAAAATAATAGGGGGATTCTATCAGGCATTCGCGCCGCGACATTGTGTTCTGTTTCTGGCCCAGTTAATAAACTATACGGGTACTTCATTAGTTTACGCAGTTAATGGTTGAAAAATGTTAAGTCAATTTAGTATGTAAATGATAAATCTACAAATATAGGATTAAATGCCCAATAGTTCCCAACGAGCAATGCTTGAAACACTAGGGTTGAACACCGCGTTGATGTGACGAACATTGCTCAAACAAACAAGCATAATAAATTTTATCACTTATGTATAACCATAGCACCCAGATGCAAGTATGTAAGTTATTCAACACATCGCTGCAAGATCTCCAAATAAACTGTATACTGCGGCATTCTCATAAAAAGTTGTTAATTAGTTTGTGATAACATAACAATGTCATTACATATTTGCATGTTAGTGACTCATATAATATAAATACATAGTTACAAATAATCTGCAAGTTGTGACAATAGCAGTTATGATAGTGCACTTAATAATTATTAAGTATTATGTAAACAAACGGGAACTTGGCCTTGTGGAGTTGCATGTTAGTTTTGTGAGGCTACAATTGACCAAATGTCTGCACGTCATCAACTTTATTGACATATAAATACTTTTGTAACATATAAAACATTAATTAGTAACTCTACCGCGGTCCTAGCGACGACTAATGAAAGAAAACTCTTAATTTAAATTTCAGACAATTTATTGCGTGTATATTTTCAGAAAATGCATTTATTTACAATCAACAACGGAAACAATACTTTACAAAACATATTGCTTATTACTCATTTATAAAATTACGAATAGCATTTCGACTTAAAATCATTTTATATAAAGAAGCGTGAAAATACGTAGCCGACAGAATGGATGTCGACATTATAATCCACAAGGACACAAGTGCAAAATATCTTAATAATAAACCACTTTCAAATAAGAAAGTAAAAATAATACCTAAGGCAAAAATAAAAACAACTAGCTTAAAAAATTTCATATAAAAATCTTATATTGACTAAAAGAAAGTTGTGATGATTATGAAAAAATATCAAGTCAAAGGATAAGCATTGTGTTTAATACTGGATTGATGGCACAAATTCTGAGAATGCTCTTTCCTTTGACTAATACTGGGCGAGACTCGGGAAAGAAGGACTTCACAACCGGTTTGTAGCACCTCCATGGATATTATTGGCCAAATGTATTGAACACTACGATCTGAGCCAACTGTAATTAATTCAAAGTTTCCAAATATTTTGATACTGAAATATCTCTATCCTTCTTTCCTCAAATATATAATTTATTCCTGAAAACATAACTACTGTCCGGAGACATGTTGTGATTTCAATAGTAGTAATAATATCATTGAATACAACGGCAAAATAATTTGATTACGTTATTTAAGCAATACTCTCTAATAATGCCTCGCATCACAACATGTAACAGATCTAAATATCTACAAAAAGAAATATAAAAATCACAGTTTTCAAATTATGCAGTGTCACATCAGATCCGGTACGAAGAGTGATATAACATCTTATCCTCATACAAACTATTCGAGAACGTAACTAATAAGTACACGACATATTAAATAAATATAGTGACACAGAGAGACAGTAAAGCAAAGACACTCACGCATAAGCAAAGACGAATAAGATTGCTTAGAAATTTACACTAAATAATAAGGAAATACTGAGATTACATTGCGTACTACTGAGATTCAATATAAAAATGCAACTTTCAAAACTGAATTATGCACATCGAATAAAAAAATAATACAAGCAAACGTATTCATCTTGCAGTATGCGCGCGCGCACGCGCTTCTCACCTTGTGAACAAAATGGCGGCGTGAGAGTGTTTTGGCGGGAATTAAGGCGCCGGTAAGGCCGTGCGCTGGTAAGGGTGCTCTCTGACCTGCGCGAGCCGACCCGCCCTCCTCACCACACCTAGCGGCATACACACATTTAACATCTGCGTCGTAGCTCGACAAATATAAGCTTCTGACACCGAATAGGTGCACCCAGACCTTTGCTAATACATTACGGAAAATCAAATTTGGAATACAAATAGATTTAAAGCTGATAGACTATATAAAAGTGGGCATAGACGCTTTATATCTAAATGCTGTAAAAAAATTCAATCTCAGTTATAAATAAAATATTATTATTCTCGTTTTCTTAATTAAACGATCGCTAAATATCACTGCCAAATAACATACGTCATTGTCGTAACGGTAGTACTAAGTTAAAATTTTAATATATTTATTAAACTTTCTATTTGGCAGTAACACTAACTTCTACTATTATGCCTAGTCCTATAGAATTATCTATTAACTATTTTATTGCTTTGGAAAATATAACAAAATAAAACAGTGAAGCGAACGGGTACACGTAAGCCCGGTCAAGGTACAAGTAATGGCTGGCTTCGATAATTTCATATTTATTTAAAATTGACTACAGTGTTAACTGCGATATAATAATTCTAAACAATAATATACGGGTGTATAATATTTTCATAAAGCTCACTCTTTTCTAAACTAACTAGAAATCTTTTAAAGATAATAATAATAATAATACTTAGCCTATGGTATGTTTATAAATATAATAATATGGCTAATAAATTAATAAGTTACGATATCGAAATTATAACAATAACATTGTGCGCTTAATAAGCTAATGTTATTGTTATACAAACTACATAAACATTTAAAAAAACCGCCTAGAATGTTCCATATTTGTTCGTATCGTATGTAAGTGTGTGTATCGCGTTATTATTTTGTCAGTTTTGTTAAAAGTAGTTATAAATGTAAATGTTTTTTGTAAATCAATTGGTATTTTGGTCCCTTTTGCTTGTAATTGCTGTATTATTTATTTAATTAATTACGTCAATTAGATACTCTATAGTTAATACGAAAAAAAAATCATTTGTTATTCACAAAAAAACAAATGGAAATATATAGAAAAAGAGAAAACCACATGCAACGGTGGAGTTCAAAATGGCTATAACACTTGGAAGTCTGATCAAACTTAGTCCAATACTCAATGAAGTTTGCATCTACATTAACAAAATGTTAATAATATATTAGTTGTGTTACAAGCAAGGGTTATCACGAGAATGATAAACAATGGTTCTATTTATATCTACCATCATTCAAGTGAAGGATATCATTGCTGATATATATTTATAAAATTATAAATAAAACTCTATGTCTTTGTATCCTAAACATCGGTAACTTAAATAGAGTTCCATTGGCAGTTTTGATTTAACTAAAATAATACGTAATTAAAAACAATTATTAAACTGCCGTCAACCCTAACAACTGTAAATAAAAGAAAAAATATTCTTTAATAAATATCTTGGTATTAATAATAATCTGAATAAATATTAAAATTATTCTGTATAATATAATAAATAATATCTTTGACTGTGCCGTAAAACAAAAATTATAATTTGTGTGTAACTGTACAAAACAGCAATGTTCGTAAATATCAAAGAGGATAACATGGTAGGTACAAAATTAGGAGTCGCTTAGCTAAAAGTACTTAAAACAATAAAATCTTAGTCTAAAAATTGATCATGGCGTATTATTATGACTGTAAGGACGTCCTGTGCGGGAGGCGTGTTTAGAAGAAAGATTATAATATCAAGGACGGCAATAATGATGCGAAGTGCGATACGGTGCGTGGACTCTCCCGTATCTTATTGTGGGCTGATGCGATTGCGGCCAATGTCAAAAGCCAGCTAGCAGATATCTCGACGCTGCAAACCCCATTAAAATATATCACTCACACAGTTCAACATAAGCTCGACACCATATTAGAATAGTGTGCATTAGTTGGTTAGTGATGTCATGTGTACTCAAGAGCCCGCTCTTTTTTAATTTAAAATAAATAAATAATTAGGCAGGTACCCGATATTTGATTTGAAAAATATGTCAAATTAAAAATTTGTCGTACACATTATCGAATAATAGATAATTCAATCGTTTATCTTAAATTTGCTTATCTTGATAAATGATTATATTCATCTGTATCCTACGGATAAAATAAAAAATGAGGAGGTTGCTATCGCACTGCCGCTAGAAGTATGGGCTCTTTAGTAATCTAGTTTGGATAGTATTTGGCACAATCTTAATTGATAAATGAACAGGTTAATACATTCTTGGCTATCTCTGAGTTGCTAACATCCTACCTCAAACTTTACCTATGTATATTTACGTAACATATTGGACTTCGACGAGTATAAAAATGTTGCTTTTTTGTTTTTTTAGCTCTAGTTTTAAGGCGTTAATTAAATTCCTATAAAGCGGTATGAAATACGGGATTTGTTAAATAATTTTAAAAGATGCGTAGCTAATTTTATAAATTTGAAAAGTCCTTGCAAAGCATTTTATAAGCTTAGGTATACAAATGGTAGTACTATTATTACTGTTTTGTAGGATACTGTCGGTTTGAGTACGAATACGTTCTTAGTTATAAACATGCGGTTATATCGTTGTTTTAAATGTAAATTAAACTTTTAATTTAAATTTGATCTACTTTATATGTCGCTCGGATTTAGAGTTCGTTGAATAAAACCCTTTACCGTATGTGTGGCGTTAGTGGTTCACGATGTTTGATAACTTTTAACAATTTTTCACCCAGCAGTAAAGCTAGGTACCCGATTATGAGAATATGTGTGTATATAAGCAATGCTGCAAAGAAACGATTCGTAACGCAAAATTCCAAAAAAAGATTATCAAACAAGGTGACGAGAAATCAACGGGCGAATAACCCACCAGTATGGTCGGCGGCCGCGTACTCGGTGGTGAGCAGAGGGTTGGCGGCGGCGGTGAGCGCCGCGTAGTTGGCGTAGTCGTAGGGCGAGGCGTAGATGAGCTGGTGCTGCGGCTCGCCGGGGGACAGCAGGCCGGCCGCGGCCTGCGCGCCCGAGCCGTTGAGCAGCCCCGCGCCCCCGCCGGGGCCCCCCGACATGCGCGGCGACAGGATCAGCGGCGCGCCCAGCGGCGCCGACGTGCGCAGTGCCACGCCTCCCACGCCGCCCGGCGCCAGCAAGCGCTGCGTCTCGGCCGCAGCCGCCGCCACGCGCCGCCACTCCTCGTCCGCTGCGGAGTCGTCTTCATTGTATCAATGCTAAGTTAGGTCAGCTTCGGATAAGGGTCGCCAGCATCAAAGTGCTAGAGTATTTCAACTTTATATATAGTATAGCAATAACATAGTCTTATACCAGCTGAAGTTCGATATTCAGTAGAGTACTTTCAATATTATGATTTTTTTTATTTATAAAAACATGCAAAGGGAGCCTGGAGACCTCGATGCAATACGCAATTACAACTTCTAAAAAGATTTCCGTGTGGTGACTACTGGACATAGGCCTGTCCTTAGAAAGGAGGTTTTGGCCTACTATGCCACGCTGTTCCCTTAGTCGGCATCCACGGGATAAATAGGCATGGTGACACTACGTATTCTTAATCCGCCACCACACGGATTAAAGATATCTTAAATGATTAAGCAACTTTATATTATCTACAATGGTCAACCGAAGTACGAGTAAATTTCATATTACTAACATATGGTACCTTTAGCCACTCAACATAATTACGTCGTATTTAAAAAGTTTTAAGAAGATTCATCATCAACAGCCACTGCTGGACATAGGCCTCTTCTTAGAAAGGAGGTTTTGGCCTACTATACCATACTGGCCAGACGGGTAGGTATAGGGTTTGTGTTAAGTTTTCCTTCTCTTTGCAGCTCTGTTGTCCTGCGTAGTTTGCTCCCTTAGTCGGCTCTTACGACACCCACGGAATAGGGGTGGTGACACTCCGTATTCTTAATCCGTCACCACACGGTTTAAGAAGATTATATATCTATAAAATTTAAATAAAGATATTATATTTTCTTATATATCCCATTCTATTTTATAACCCATCATGAAGAGAAAACTGAAAGCAGTGCGAATTTTCCACCCTTGGGAGCCTCCGATAGCTATATTTTGTCCCATACCAAACAGAAAAAAAAATTGGGAAAATAAAATTGTTAGTAACAGCCCTAACGAACAGAGGCGAAATGAATTTTTGAACAGAACATAGTATTTCATTTGACATAGAAATCGGCAATAACACAGTTTTGCAAATGTTCACGACTAAGACTCATTTTGCCGACCGTAACGAATTTTCTATGACTGGAACAATCTCCTCCAGCCCTTAATTAACGATAAGAGATCTTGGCGCGGTGAAATCACCCAAGTTAATAGTTAACAACTGTTACATGCCACAAATCAATTAAGTTAGTCATCTTAGCGGTCGCTGCGATGACTCAGTTCCGCAAACAAAAGACACAAGTTTATGCTCACTTCAACAATAGGAAATGTAATGAAAACAGAACGGCATATGTACATTGTACAATTGACAAAAACAATCCCAGCGTAAAAAAAACCCACGGTTATTATGTAATTTTTCATGCAAAATGTGGCCCAATACATTCTTTTTTTCAATCATAAAACAATCACAACTACTTGTTTTAAATAATATACCTCATCGCTGAAGTTCCGTTGATATCGTGATACGCGAAATTCAAAACAATACAAGAATCTTCGTCTTTAGTGAAACTCACGCAAGAAACCTTAAAGCCAATATCTGATGTAATTATTTAAGTTAGTTCAACTGTTCGGAAACATCTGTGCACTTTATAAATGTTTCCTGTCATGAGATCTCTCGCTCTAAATACGAGAGAGAAGTTAAATGACGTCATTTAACAGTCCCAGAGATGTTTTCGAAAGGTTGTCTTAGTAGATAGTATTAGTTACAAAACATGAATGCGACCATACTTATGAGGCACTGACCGTTGACGGGCATAACCGCCTTGGTACTAGAGTCACGGTATGTGCCGTTTATGATAGCCAACTCCATGAGCTGGCGCTTCTTCAGTTCATCTTCACCATCGGCTTGCTGTAGAAAGAAAATAAGAACTATTATAACAATTTAAAAAAACTTTGCTTGTCATTATTTATTAGCAAGTAACACCGTTAATGTTAAATTTCAACAATGATCATTATTTTGTATATCATAAAGAATTTCAAAGAATATTACTGTGGCTGGATTTCGAAAACCCGATACGTACGAGTCGGGTGAGTAGGATCCTACTACTACTTATAAATATATACTTATGTTTTAAACATTAAAAAAAATGTAAAATGGGTAGGGGGAAATACTTAAAGGCGTTAAAAATTTAAGAAAACTATTGAGTTTATTAACGAAAAAATATACATTTCGTGAACAACGAAATGTATATTTATTAGGTATAATACAGAAAAATAAACTGAAAGATGTTTACCAAAGAATGCGCGTTTTTAAATAAATATTTTCCGCCAGATGTTTAAAGTTGAAAATAAAAACAAAGTTTAAAACAGGAATCTTACAGAGTTCAGTAACCATAACCAAAATATTTGATACCCGAAATGAAAATGTATCTGAAACCGCAATCGTTACAGACTTACAAATGTGGAATAATTTCAGATTTCTATTTTTTTTAATGGGACTAATCCCACCCACACGCCCACCACTGTAACTCCTGTACACCAGGATCAACAGCAGTGATCCATGTTATGACACACCGAGTTATGACACATTAGGGAAGTTTCAGGAAAAAATAGTATATCTTGGAACCCGCAACGAAATTAATCAGAAGAAAATTGGCGGAATTCATTTCCTAGATTTCTATATGGCTGAAATCGTTACTGCTGCTAAGTAAACGTTTTAATTGTTAACTAAGTCAACCTCCAATAATCAGGAAAACTACTCTTACGGTTTTATTTTTCTCGATACTAGTATGTTTCTGTAATTAACAGAAGCTACGAAAGCCTTTAACCAACAAGGGAGGCATATATGCGACTTTTTTGAATCCTCACTGGTATAAATATATTCTAGAAATGCTTTCACTATTTTTTTTATTTATTTATACGATTTTTGTATATTTTGCGGCATGTACTGCAAAGGCTATGTAAATAGTACATCATTGCACTATGCAACTATCAACCAGTAAAATGAGCGGCTATTCAATTGACGATATTGCAATTATTTGTTCCATCTATTTTCTCGATTGTTTATTAACACAGGAAAACTATAAGTATGGCACACAAGATCATGTATCGTATTTCTGACATACCTTTATAGAGGGTCCTTAAATAAACTGACAACAATCGAACTCTATCATTAAAAACAGTAGCACAACACTATCAAAGCAATTATTAGGTAGATATCTAGGTAGAAGTAAGTAGTATTCGTTAATTAATAATAATTAAAGCGGGCCTTGCAGCGATTCAACACTATGTAAGTGACGTCACGATACCCTAACTAATTTTTAAAGGCGTTTGTTTGTGTCTATAGTATACACATACTGTCTTATTGCACTCATTCCGAATGGCAATCGACTTCACTATGATGTAGGCACATCTAACATATTTTTATTTATTTATAAGTCAGTAAATACCGCTAAAAACAGAATTTAAATATATTTAAATGTAAGTAAATATGACATATGTACATATATGGAGAACGTGTAGGTATATAATAAGTGAAAGACTTTATAAGCTCGTAGCTAAATCTAATTGTTAATACCTGTAAAAAAACTGAATAAAATAGAAATGTTACATACGTCCCACGACAGGTTTTGAAATTCATTCAAAACATTGCTCTTAAGACAGTTGCCAACTTTTCTGGCATTTTAGTCTGGCAATATATTAGAGAGTTTATCGTCAACAGATAACATTCACTGTAACTATAACCAAAACGATAACACCGAACATTTGCATGGCTAGACACTTTTAGATGAGTACGCGCACGAAACGAAACATCTTTGTTTTTCTTTTAATATATTAAGATGTACTTATGTAAGTTGTTTTCATTTCGGAGAATGTATGCTGAAAGATGACAATGAAACCGGATGCAAATTTCTTCGGTAGCTTAAGATATTGTATTGCTTGGTTTAGTTTAATTATGATTTATGTTAAGCATAAGAATATACAAAATAATTATGTTGACTAAAGTACTCAATATGGCCTCGAAAACAACAACAAATTTCTAACAAAACCCGACAAACTGATAATATTAATATTTTATTTAGATAATCTATCTAACGCCAATTTAATTTTAAAGTATGTATTGCGAAAGTACAGCATCGTTTGAGAGATATGCGCAACAGGTTGCAACATTGTAACCGCTCTCATTTGTCTTCATCTGCATAAGCAACACGTCATTAGAGCTTTTAGATAGCCCAAATAGTCCTAAATAAATATTGACATCATTTCGCACAGATTAAGAGCTAAACGTACCGTATTTAAAAAAAATGTTTTATATTACGCAAGTAATACTTAGTTTTATATTAATCTGACTGTTGGTTAGTATTTTTGGGTGTATTGTTATTTACATTAAAAAAATTAAAGTACTGTAACTTACAGGTATAAGCAGACGTTTAACTTCATCAACAGCCCTGGCCAGCTTGATCTTAGCCCTGTTCTCGGTGTCTTCGACTGTCAATAAGACGTGAAGATCATCAGCCAAGTGTTCCCAATTTGGCTTTCCTCTGTTTGCGTCCTCCTGAAATTCAATGTAAACAAAATATTGTAATAACCTTCTATTGAAGCTTTCAACGTTTATGATTCTCCCAGTTTAGCACAGTAATTAAACCGTTTTGTGTGAAATCAAAAACAGAATTTGTTCTTGAGAAGACATTAGTTTGAGAAGAGTCTGTATTGTTTTCTGAGGCGAATATTATTCAGCGTTCATTTCAACATTCCAAAATTTTATTTTGCAATTACTATAGATAGCTAAAGTATGGCTCTGAATATAAATAGACACGTATTCTCAAGAAACTGGCTGAGCATTATTGGTTTGAGTACTTCAAACAAGCCCATACAAATTTAAACGTAACGTCCATATAGGTACGTTTGGCGTTGCCTTGGTATTTCTATTCATAGAAGTCAATTGGACATACAAGCATAACTTGCTTTATATCACATCAGAACACAAATGCGTAGATATGAGTTAAAATCTGTACTATTCATAGTTCTAGCTTGCCTCGATTGATGTTAACATGGTGAGGTAAATTGAAAATTCGGCACGGCAATAGTCTTGCGCCTATTACGTGAGTGAGATGAAATAATACATTTGGTCATCAATCAATCATACGTTCGAGGATCCAAGCTAAAGTACACGTATATGTTAAGAAATAAATCTAACCTGATTTATTTTCCAAATGCAAGCTATGAAGGAAATATAAATATTAGTAACAGATGTTGTTATACGGCAAAAAAAAAAACAAGTTTCATAAACTGATTAAACTTTCTTAATACTAAAGTTAGTAAGAGGAAAAATTTAAAGCATAAAATATTTACATACATTATAATTTACCTTTTTCTTATCCCTCATTGACCCTTTTCCTCTGACCATGATTTTGCAGCCTGTTTCTTGTTCTAGCTGTTTTGCTGTCATACCCCTAGGGCCCAGAATCCTTCCAACAAAGTTGAACTGTAAAAAAAATCATAACTATAAATAATTATAAAACAGGGAAGGGTCGACAGATCAAGTGCACTTATTGAGCATTTTTTCCATAAGGTATTAGTGTATTAACCCTTTCAGATAAGCTAAATTCTTGTGATGGGTGGGGTTCGAACCCGCAACCACTTGGTCGCTACTCCGATGATATTCGTTATTATTATGCTGGAACTTTTCAACTTAAAATCGATCTTAATATACTTGAGAATAAGGAAAAAAGTATAGCGATTTACATACGCTTTAGAAATAAAACTGTAGTCAACCATTCAATATAAATTGTAAAAGCGTCTTAAAAAAAGTGACAAAGTAGGTAATAATGTAATATGAATTTAAAATAACTGCTTAAAACTTAGCTCAAAATATTTTAATGTTAGAAAATTAAATTAACAATTTTTTGTAATAATAAACACAAAGAATAAATTTAGTTAACATCTTTTTGGCCAAACACACAGCAGTACCGAAAGTGTTGTCGTAGTTTAGTCAATAGTACTTTAAAACGAGCAATGTTTAATTCATACATCTATTAAATATTTAATTGGCCATTTTAAAATAGTTCATTTAAATTTTAAGATAGCAAATGGCGGTTACATGTAAAGATCTAATACAAGTTGTGTGACTACATCTCATACTATTAGCTGTTGGATTAATTACTCGCTTCGTTACACCAAACCTTATTTTATATGCACATGTATAAACGCACGTAATATTTACAGTTTAACCTCAATACATACAGCATCAAAGTATCGGTCAGCTCAACGTATATGAACTGTGAACCAGTATCATTCGACCGTCCACGAGCGAAGCTACGAAATGGACTATGTTGGCTCGATGCCAAACACTGAGGTTCAGAGCAACGCTTTTTCTTTTTCTAAAGGGATGTCTCAAACCGTCAAACATTACTTCGAAATACATAGTAAATAAACGTAGTAAATAAAAAATAGAGGTTTGGAATTCGTCACATGTCTCACGGTAAATTGTTTAGCGTGACAGCATGCAAATTGCTCGAATATGTTATTAGATGCCACTGAAAAGTTAAATAATAGGTAAGTAGGAAACTTATATTCTTTTAAACGAGTTGAGTGGCCAGGTCGAATGGATTACTTCTGAAGTCATAAATCTGAACGGACACTGTGTCAATTCTTTTATTATGACAATAGAATCATTAGAATGACATGTTAACATGTATTTCAATGAGAAATATGAGATGCGGAAATAGGCACTAAGAACGGGCTGGGGTAGCATTCATTATTCGTTGCGGTCCGGCGATTGCGTCGGAGCCGGCCAACGACAAATTGTAAATAACTCAAAGTAGATACAGATACTGAAATTTTGAATGCCAATAAATTATCTTACATTAAAATCAAGTTACTGTGTTAAACCTAAAATGGCTTTTGGGTATGTGCTTGTGTAAACTTATTCTTACATTCTATACTCGTGGTTGTTATACCACCTTGCAAATTTTAAGTTTCTTTTTAAATTCCTATAACTATTACAATCTTGCAGAGCATATCCATTCTTGCATTCGAAGCATTGGCGAAAGCGTAAACACGCTTCCCGCGGAAGAAATACCCTTCAAAACCTTTTATGTTAAATAAGTGTGGTTTCTCAGTAACATAAAATGCTAGCTATAATCTCTGTGCTGAGGAGGGCCGTCCTGATGCTGTTTAGTGGTTTGCCACAAACAACTTGGTCATGAGCACTGCCTTTACATGTCAAGCATTATATTGTTACGTTTCCCTGATATTCTTAAAAACACAGACATCATAAAATATAACGTTTGTAGGGTGCAACACACGTTTATTGTGATGTGGGTTACCCATAAACTTTAATTAGGTTGTCAATGACGCTTTTGGAACTGATGGGTGTGCTAGTTCAGTGTCATTTACCTCAGACTCTTTGTATTATTATAACAGACGTACCAAGGGCCAACATTAATCACGAAAATGAGATCTAATTACCTCGGTAGTAAGTAAAGATTTAGTCCAAATTAATGTCTACCAAACTGTCGTGTCAGACAGATGTCTAATAATGTGATGAATACGAAAGTGTCTGGTAACATTTTCGTGTCGAAAACATGAAAATTTTGAACAATGTTGAATAGAGGTGGTTGATCGCCGAGCGTCTAGTCGGGCCACATCGAAATAGCGCTTGGCGACTTGGCGACACGCCCATGTTTACTATATTGCATTTTTTCACCGTTCGTAATATTTTTATGAAAAAATAATTATTTTGTTTTTCATATAACAAAAATATCTTCTCACACCTAGATACACAAACAAGATATTTTTACTTACTGAATCTTGTGTGATAATAATAACTGGTATCTGGATTGTAATTGACAATGTCTTTACAAAACCATTCAGATTATGGAAGGATACGGCTAATACAACAGTAAGCGAGCTATGGGAGACATAAAACTCGGTGCCGCAGGCGCATCTAATCGATCAACCAATTGCATTCCTGAACGTGGCGCATGCGCACTTATAAATAAACACATAGAGCCATACCAGAAAATTACTTACCATTTAGTTATCTCTTTAAATATCAACTGTTATCGCGAGCTTATGCAAATAATTATATGAGTTTGTGCAAACCATACATTATATAGGTAGCTGTTGTTCATTGTATTAAGCAATTCTTGTGTTTATTAATAAGCACAAAAAACAATTAAACTGGTGTAGTTCTGTATTTATCATCATCATCATCAACAGCCTTTACTAGTCCACTCTTGGACATAGACCTCTCCTTAGAAAGGAGGTTTTGGCCTACTAAACCACGCTGGCCGGACGGGTTGGTATAGGGTTTGTTTCAAGTTTTCCTTCTCCTGCAATGCTGTTGTCCTACGTAGTTTACACACTTAGAAGGCTCTTACGACACCCTCGGGATGAATAGGGGTGGAGACATTCTGTATTCTTAATCCGTCACAACACCTACTAATTATCTACTAATTACAGAGCAAAGATATATTTATTATTTAATAATTTAACATGCAATCTATGGGCGGATCCAGCAACTCGGGTGGAAATTGAGTGGGTAGTACTCATGACAAGCTCCGATTTAATTATCCACCTACTTGCAATCATACCAAGTATATAGGTTTAAACATGTGTGTACCCCTTAGATCCACCCGAGAAGCATTTATCATACGTTCATCATACGAATCATCGTTTATCATACGAAGTTCGTTTTACCGTGTCAATACGGTGACAGGTGGCCGAAGAAAGTACACAACATACTTATGCTCCCTCAATTCTAATGATCAGACAGTAAAGTAATATAACTATGTACATATATTCTCTAATATGACATACTAACAGAAACAGAGCTGTTAACCATGTATACCGTAATCTGGATCTTTTTAAATTAAGTAATGTACTTAGACGGTATATAATAGCATTAATTAAATAGAAATGTGCAAGTTTTTCGTACGTAATGGCGGTGGTTTTGCGCCCTAATGATAGCGTTCCGATAATACCGCAAACCACGTGCACTGGGAACCACTGCCGAGGTAAAGACTCGGTTATACTGAGAGCGGATATAGATCTATGAGCGGAAATTATTGTGATACCTGTTTGTTACAGAATTACCATTTTGTCTCCGCCTTTGAAGAGATAAAATACCAAGGCCCATGCATTAGTCATGGATATTAAAATTACTCATAATACTTATTATAATTTATTGCATATAACTAATGTAAATTTACAGCCATATGTTGCAGTGCTTCTTTGTTAATGCAAAGCTATTTGAAATAATCATAGTTGTTCTTGCTATGTAATTTTGTTTGTTGTTTTGGTTCATCTATAAACATGTCATTGTGTGTATTGCCATTTTGTTATGCATAGCAATATAAACGTAATTGTTATTATGATTACATACAGTATATATTTTATAAGACATACCCCAATACTATAGGAATTATGTATAGGAAGATATTAACACAATAAATCATTAAATATGATATTTACATGATGAGTAGAGTATCACATAAAATTTAAGTTGATTATATTAATTCCATAAAACAAAATTGAGATAATAGTATTTACTTTTAATCAAAGTGTGGGTATAAACATAAATAATACTCGAATATATTTATATCCATTTTTTTTGTGGAGATCTACGGATGGTCAACTTAGTCGTATATTGTCCCCAGGGAAATTATGAATATAGCTGAAAGGAACTTTCAAGACCTACTTGACTTAAAAGGTCATGTTGTATTTTGTTTTGTCGCAGTAAACTATTTACAAAACGTTAAGCAAATTCTTTTTTTTTTTTTAAAACAAATATTTTTTATGTAGTGGATGATACAGGTTCAACCGCCGAAATTTTGATTATTATTTTGAGTTTTGTAAAATTAATTGTTATATTTGCCTCTTTCCGTTTACGCTTGCAAAATGACCGTGGCTTACGATAACAAGCGTACGAATGTCGTTTCATCGTTTTAAAATATTTATTATTATCATTATAAGTTTACATGGTTCACTGTTTCATGTCATTGTTTAGAGTTCCCGTTATAAGTGCTACTATTTTGTTCATTCCATATCATCTGTACATCAAACGTTTTCTTGATCACTGTGCGTATAATTTAAGTATTTTCAGAGAAGAAAGTTTCCTCAGAAATATGATCGTATCTGCCGTAGATTATGAGTTTTTGAAACTGAAGGAAAGTGTAATTTAAGATAATATAGCAAAGCATATATTAGGTGAAACATGCTGATGATTATCAAGATACGTGTTCACGAATATGCAACGATCTATGCTATTCTTTAAAGAAAATATATACAACAATATTATGCTAGTTTTTATTTAAGGCTTTCCAATGTTTATGTATAAGGATAATTTGCATTGTATTGAGAAAAATACCAAGAAATATATCCACTGATGATTCAAGTTTAACGTCACACTCATTGAATTTATTCATTCATATATTCCAAGTCAAAGACAAGTCATTTAACTGTAATGAATTTATAATAGGT